TGAATTGATCGCAAAATCAGTTTCAATTCGGCAACAACCACCGAAATATCGCTATCACTAAATCGTTTGCTTGTGTAGGAAAGTCGCGATGCCAAGCTGAAAGGACAGCTGCTCAGCGAAAGTGAAGGTCTTCTGAGCGCGTTGAGACTGCCGAATGATCTAGCACCAGCAACACCAACTGTGGACAGTGCTTCTGAGAAGAGTGATCGTTGTGTTGAGAAGTCTCCGAAACATATGGAATTTCTTCGTAAAGCCGGCATGATCAAAGTTTGCAGTCAATTTTTGCTTCGATATTCCGATACTTTACGGTTTGAGCATTATTTGTAAAGCGCACCACCAGCTTGCTTCGGTATCCCGATGAAATGTATAATTCATGAGAAATGAGAATGACCGTTTCATTTTGAGTATCATCCATTCCATTCAAAAACCCCCACCAAACTCTGGCTAGATGAAATTTTCGTTTAACTTCTAATTTGATATGTTGCTCTTAGTGCTATAAGTCAAACTCTTACGATTAGATTTGTTCGTTTGCTAAGTTGAAATTTCATTGTGGATTGTTGTTTTCATTTGAATTTTATACTTGATCACTTGTGAAATGTTTTATCGAGCGTGTTTATGACAGCTTAATGAGTCAGCTTCTACACTGCACACTGTTGGTCTCCCGTCGTCGCTTCAGAACTCTATTGAAAAAGCGATTTTGCAGAATTTTATGGCCTCATCAATCATGGTTAGTTTTATTCACGTCTGGTCATTTATTCACTTTATGCGTTTGGAATTTCTTCGGCTAACGTTATTTTGTCTGCTTCATAGTCAGCATAATCGTTATTTTGTCTGCTTCAGAGTCACCAGTGAAAATTGTCAACATAATAATGAATGCATTTGTTTCATCATTTGAACTTCTTAGCTTTATAGGTTTCACCTCCTCATATGGTGCGCGGAGCGATTATCGAAGCAGCCAATCTTCCGAAAGAAATGTTCCCCGCATTCAGCGATTCCACCACTCAAAATGCTTCATCAACTTATCTCACAGGTGCTCACAACTGCACACGGATATTTTAGATGTGTGGATGTGCAGCTCGTGATTTCGCTTTCAAATCATCATACCGTATTGTAAACAATTTTCATATATCTCAGAAATTCTTAGTCGATATGCACTACTATCTAAGCATCAATCGCTCGTAATAGTAACAGTCTCTAACGCACACAAACTATGACAAGCGATAGTGAATTGAACAAATGTCGCTACAGTCTTTCTCAGGATGCATGAACCCCGAGCGCGGCGGCGCTCCTCTACAGACAAAAATTCCAATGAGGCCTGCCTCCTCGGCCAAAATTTAGCCTCTCAATAAACGCTACATGCTGCTGTTATATGCCTTTCAAAAGGCAATTTTCAGCACTTGAAAGGGCAGCAATATTTCAGGCCACGGACTTCTAGCATTTCTAGCGATTTTCACGAAATGTCACTTCAAGAAGTCATCAAATGAGTGGCCAATCCGTGTCCTAAGCTCAGGTGCTTCATATCGTAACCGTACGACAACGACAACAACCAGCGATAAATCGTTGAGTTTATTCACTGCTGGTCAACGCAAAAAAGTGGCACAATTGAGTATATGCTACAGTGAAGAACAAGAATCAGATGAATACAC